TCAGCGGGTCAGTGGGGCTGGGATGGGCGGGTCAGTGGGGCTGGGCTTTGGGTGGAATTTGGGTTGGCTTTGGGCTGGGCTTTGGGGTGGGTTTAGGGTGGGATTTGCATGGATTTGGGGTGGAATTTGGGTGGGTTTGGGCTGGACTCGATGTCAGGCTGTGCTTGACTTCAGTCCCTTGAGCTCAACTCAGGGCTGGGCTCAGCTTTGCGCCAGCTTTGGCTTTGGGTGCCCCCCTATTCCTGTTCCCATCCCCGTTCCTGGTGTGAGCCCCTGATTCCCATTCCAGGAGTGACCCCCATCCGCCTCCTGATCCCATTCCAGGAGCGACACCCCCTGTTCCCATCCCCATTCCTGGGGTGCCCTCCCATTCCCAATCCCATTCCAGGGGTTCAGATGTTCGTCAGTAACCGGGAGGTGTTCGGGTTCCTGCCGGTCCCGCTGCGCTCCCACAGCTCCCTGCGGGACGAGGCCGACAACTTCCTGCACGTCCAGCTGGAGATCATGGGTGAGGGGCGGGATCCACACGGATCCGGGGCCTTGGGAGCCTGGCATGGAATGGGGGAACCCCACAGAGTCACCCCCAGACTCCTGGGATTGGAAACTGGGCATTGGGAATGTCCCACCCAGGCTCAGGGGTTGATTCCTGGTGGGATGGGGATATTTGGGACTGGGAATGTCCCCTCCAGGCTCCGGGGTTGATTCCCAGTGGGATTCTCCCATTCCCAGTGAAGCTTCCTCCGGCCGAGCCCTCCCCCCACGTGTGGGTGCCCCCCAAGGTCTCCGACAAGATGGGCTTTGACGAGGTGAGTGTGGCATTCCCTCGGGATTTTGGGATGGGATCCCTCTTCATTTTCGGATTTGGGGTCATTTTTCCCCCTCCCGTTCTGAATTTTGTCTTGTTTTCCCACTTTTCTGCTGGATGTTGCTCCCCTCCCCTCTGGATTCCAGTTGCATTGCCCCATTCCCCACTGGATTTTGGGTGGTTTTCCCACTTTTCCTCTGGATTGGTTGATCTTACCCCCTTCTCTGGATTTCGGGTGGATTATCCCTCTCCCCTCCTGACTTTGGGTGGTTTATCCCATTCCCCTGTGGATTTTGGGTGGATTCTCCCATTCCCATTGGGATTTGGGTGGATATTCCCAAATTCGTCCCCCCAGGTGTTCCTGATCAACCTGCAGCGCCGCTCCGACCGCCGGGCGCGGATGCTCCGGACGCTCCAGGAGCAGGGAATTTCCTGCAAACTGGTGGAGGCCGTGGACGGTCGGTGAGTTTGGGGCTCCCGGGGGGGTCTCCAGGGGGAATCTTTCCCAAGGGATCCCCCTCTGGAAGCCTCCCTGGCTCCGCAGGGCCCTGAACAGCAGCGAGGTGGAGGCGCTGGGGATCCGGATGCTCCCGGGATACCGGGACCCCTTCCATGGGCGGCCCCTCACCCGGGGGGAGGTGGGCTGCTTCCTCAGCCACTTCCGCGTCTGGCAGGAGGTGAGGGGGGTCTGGGGGGTCCTGGGGGGGGGGTCTGGGTCTCAGCAGGGCTCCAGGGGGGCTCCATGGAATTGGGATCCGGAGGTATCCAGGGAATTGAGAGGGGCAGGCAGGGGGGAGCTGAGCTGCTTCCTCAGCCACTGCCGGGTCTGGCAGGAGGTGACGGGGGTCTGGGGGATCCTGGGAGGGTCCGGGGGGTCTGGGGATGATCCAGGGGGGTCCGGGACTGCCAGGGAATGCAGGGGACGGGGGGGCAGGCAGGGGGGAGCTGAGCTGACTCCCGGGATGGCCCTGGATGGGGATCATTCCCAGATCTCGGCACGGGGGCTGCGCAAGTCCTTGGTGTTCGAGGACGATTTGCGCTTCGAGATCTTCTTCCGCCGGCGCCTCACGGAGCTCATGGAGGAGCTGGAGGAGGCCGGGACGCCCTGGGACCTCATGTGAGTCTGGGGCCTTCATCCCCCTCCTCATCCTCATCCCAACCCCTGGGACCTCATGTGAGTCTGGGGCCTTCATCCCCCTCCTCATCCTCATCCCAACCCCTGGGACCTCATGTGAGTCTGGGGCCTTCATCCCCCTCCTCATCCTCATCCCAACCCCTGGGACCTCATGTAAGTCTGGGGCCTTC